CGTCGTACTGTTCGTGGCTGAAATCGCGTTGGCGCTCGATTATCTGCAGAGTCACATGATTATCCATCGGGACATCAAACCGGACAATATACTGCTGGATGAGGAGGGTGAGTACTCACGTTTGTTGATAATCATGGATCGTGATCTCTTGAACTCTTACCTTTCGCGTGTTAGTCACCCACATCGCATAAAGTACTATAGATAAGGGCAATTAATGTTGCCCCGAGAAAATTTAATTTCGCAAGTGCGATTTCCTCAAAGTTTCTCTTTTTGCTACGCATTTCGAAAAACATGTGATAAAGAAACGATCATAATGCTATGTGGGCGACTCGCACGAAAGGTAAGAGTTCAAGAGATCATGATCCATGATTATGAATACACGTGGGTGATCTTTTGAATTTTAACCTTGCCTATACATATATATGCATTATGCAATTTAATATAGTCAAATTTCCTCACTTTTTGTAAATTTATATCAACCCGGAAAAAAATTTTAATGTATAATCAGATATAATCAAATATAAATTAGCCATATATGATCTTATATCATGTATGTTCATATAGTGACAAATTAGAGACAGGATCATGTATGGCTAATTTATATATGATTATATCTGATCATATGTTAAAATGTTTTCCTAGGAATTTAATTTTTAGGAATTTAATATACAAATTGTTTAATACTTTAATATATGAACACTACTTCTGTATGTGCATTTGTATTTATATAACTAGAGATTATATTTTAGAAACTAAAATTTTTAATTACTGAAATTAATTATGATTTAATTATAATATCTTAAATCAATATGTTATAAATTCTATTAAATTAAAACTGTATATATATGACTTCTTATAAATTTTGACGATAAAAATAATGGAAATGCATATATGTAAAGTTATTAAGAAAAAGGCATACTTTTCTCGATAAACAATTCAGTCAGATATTTTCGCCACTATTTCGACTGATAATCGCATTTATCTGGATCTGAATTTCATTTGCTACAATGCAACACGAGATGAGAGTTGACTACATATTTAGCGGTAAACGTGAGTCTAGTACACAAAGCTTTGAATCCAATCAGGTAGTCCTCACGCGCGTGTTTGTATACACATGCTAATCGAACGAAAGAATAGGAACAAAATTATCGACATCGAAAGAATTTCTTCCCCAGGAGCAAAGTTAAAAATGTTCCTATAAAAATATATTGCGGACGAGATATAAGGTGCATTAAAATTGCAGATGGAATTTTTGAAATATTAATATCATTTTTAAAAATATTATTTTATATTATTACTTTAACATATCACACGATCGAAAAGCAATAGGATTAGAAACTTATTTTCTTTTCTTAATTACTATTGACGCAATATTTTTATATTGTATATATATTATTCACCGGATCTTTTATATATCCAAATAGCTTCCCAAAAGTTATTCATAAATCTTTTCTCGCAGTGATTTGTGTTCAACCATTCTGTATTGTGAAAACTCTGCAGATCGAACGAGTTTTATAAATCGAAATATTTGGTATTTAAGCCTCAATCAAGCTCCCGTATAGAGTGTCATACCTTCGTTTGCATATCAAATGCTGATTCCGTCGTTTGGTTTCAATATCGGCGCCATCGTGGACAAGCGTATTAATCACCTATAATTTAGTTATTCTGAAGTACGAGCGCAAGATTGAAACACCAAATTGACAAGTAAATTTTGCGCGACGGATGAGATTGTGGTTGTATATATTCGCGAATTCACGAGAGCTGCTACTAGAAACTATCGGCGGATTTTAATGGAATTAACTCTCTACTATGTATTTGAGCTATTCATCCGCGTCCCTTTCGCTTCGATTAATATATTCTACTGAATATGAATTTAGCAAATTATGAAAATACAAAAGGCATCATGGTGTATGTAGTGCGAAAATTATCTACAGAAATATACATATATGATATTTTATATAAGAACGCATAGTATGTATATATGAAATCGCTAATGACAACTGAAATTCTTTGCTTAAATCCCGAACATAATTTAATATACATTATCGATAAAGAATTTTTCGTTGCAAAATATGGAAAGTTTTAACTGTATAGTAAAAAAAAACTGATCTTGAAGCAATCAATCAATTGACAGCGTAAATATATAGTTTCAATAATATCCTTCATTAGAAGGATATTAATGGGATAGAAGGATATAATATTTTAAAAGATATGAAGATTTATATTATAGAATTTTCAAAATTTTATTAGTTTGAACGGAGAGTTCACGCCGTTTTTCAGTCTTCATCTGATAGCAAAAAATGGCATGAACTTTCCGTTCAATCCAATATTAATAAGGTCAATATTTTATTCAGAATTTTATAAAGAATAATCGAATAAAAAAAGAGATCTTTTATTACATATTTATACCAGATATTCTCTTTCTCTTTAATATTTTGGCATATTTCCGATATTTTGCCTGTTTCTCCGAAAGCCTTGAAGCAAAACGTAGCGTCTCCTTTTGGCTTATCAGTGCAGAGAATGTTGTTTCTTATTCTCCACGATTCCCGATTTTTCTCGATTTCTCCTCTTTCACAATTTTCTCCTCGATTCTCTAGAAATTATCGATAATGCTTTTTCCACTTTACTTTCTTGACAATAAATTGATTTATTATCGAAATGTTATAGATCGTCACAGGTTTTGCCAAAGAAAAAGCTGGACGAATCTTGAAAGCGCGATGCTAAATAATGCATTTGCATGCCGGGCTTTTGAGATCTTCAGCTTTTTGGATTTGCATAAGATATGGCTGCATTTGTCGAGCGAAATAAAGAGTAATGCAAGCGAACAAACAAAACCAATGATAAGATACGGATTATTGTGGTTAACCGTTTTCGCACAAATTAGATGTTCTCCGGATTTTTGAAAAATCTATTAGGATAAATATCAGAAAATAATATTATTCAATTGCGTTTTCGTGACATTGATTTATGAATTTTCTGAAACAATGATGCCGAACAAAATACCTTGAATGCAATACCTTTAATGTCGACGAAATTATACAAGAACGAGAGAGAGATAAAAATAACTATGAGGGTGGCAAAGGGAAAGGGTGGTACGTGTTCATGCCGAAGACCTCGCTCCTCTCGAAGGTCGGATCCGCTTTAATAGAAAGATAGATGCGGGGAAGTGACGAGGGTATTTCGTAGGGAACGTCTCGGGTACGCGGAAAGCAGGTACATACATTTCCGATCCTAAGGGAGATGGGGTAAGCGAAGGAGGAAGGGAAGGAGGCTATCCTAATTTCCTCCTGCACCTGGCCGACGGCTGTTTGAATCCCAAGATTGCCTCTGCATCATTTAAAATTACGCACCGGTGTCCCGCTCTTATCGTTTCGCTTTTGTGTCCCATCTAGCGTGGCATAAGACCTGTTCCGTCGAGATATTGTGGGGAAGTTGACGAAACTAGACATGTTTTTATAAATTTAAGCTAGATATACGTATACTACTGTCGAGCCGTGTGCGTTTTAATGCGTTGGAATAAGCCTCAATCGTTCGATTTATTCTACACAAGAAGAGAAGTCGAATCGAAAATCAAAAATATTTCTGTGTAGATTAAAGTTGCTTACTTTTAAAAAAAAAATAGGATCTCAGGAAACCACTAATAAAGTGATTTATTGTGTAACGCCTTAGAAAAATGTTTTTTTGTCAATAATCCTTGAATAATCATTCCTCTAATAATTCTTTTTTGTAGTTCTTAATATCGAAAAATGTCTTATGTCGTCTCCAATTGTAATTATTTAAAAAGAAAATAATCATTTTAATAATAATTTTTAACGTCTTCTTTAATGTCAATTATTTTTTAACACGACTTATTGTTCTATTATCATGATATCATTAAAAAATCGTAATAATTCTCGATAATTGTAAGGCTAAAAAGATTAATAGAACGAAGTAATTTAATATAATATTACAGAGGATGAAACATACACACACACACACACACACACAGTTAAGAATTTCAGAGAATTTCTGGCTAGATCGATCTATAGTCTAATAACTTCGTCTATATAGTCTAATAACAGCGGAGAGAAAAGGAACCTATATATGCGGGAGAACACACACACACACACTTCCGGAGAAAACCGCTTAGAACTACTTTCATTAAAGTCTAAAACATGATTGCAATGAAGAACGGCGTAAAATCGCTGTATAATACTACTACTTCTTCCTTCCGGTAATATCACATTCCAGATCCGCATTGTAGTCGTTGGAATTCATTTCGTTATTTTACCTACACGCGGCTTCGTGCACATTCAAGATTACGAAGCATTAATACAAGGAATAATTTAGCAGGATGAAGCCATCAAATATTTCGTGAGTAAAATGAAATTAAGAATCTTAAGGAGACACTGTACGTGTGTGTCTGTATATTATAATGAATAATAATAGAAATAAGATCGGTTGCAAAAATAAAAGAGAAACCTCTCAAGTGTGACATATTGAGAGGTTTCTCTTTTATTTTTGTAGACAATTTTATTTCTGCTGTTGATATCCAGACCTGATTCCAGTGAACCAATAATTTTCGATTACTTCCATTCAGTAGGAAATTATTTTCGTCAAGAGTTGTTTTTAAAAGCGACTCTGAAATGGACTTAATTCAAATAAATAATAATTTTTTTCTTTACTTTTATAAAGTTTTACATAAAATATATTTTTTAGAATAAAAATCTTTTTTGCTTTTTTCTTTAAATCAAACTGCAAAATTAAAGCAAAATGCAGGTATATCTTATTTTTTTATGGATTGCCATATCTAACAATAAGTGATAAATGGCTCTTTTGATAGAAGTAAGCATCTGATCGTGTTTCCGCATCGAGGTTGTCAATTTTTATTTTATTCCGTTTATTAAAGGTAGGAAATTATTTTTCTTGATATGCACAAACAATCCACGTGCCTGGTACTAAAACATAAAGCTTGACTACAATGGAGGAATTGTGTGATATTGCGTCGATGTAATATGTAGCGGTGTATGTTGATGCTCATCCCCTTTAGTTTACATCAGAGCTCGATCCACATTGCGGTCGCTGCAATGTTTAGAAAATGACAACAGGTAAATATTGCGAAAACAAATCTATAGCATAGCACACGCGAAAGAACCTGAAGAACATGCCGCGTCGGAAAACCAATATCGCGTTGCTCTCTGCGCGTGTGTATATACATATACATATATGTATATATGTGTGTGTGTGTATGTATATACGTATGTATACCCGCCTCTTAATAGTCCTTTGATGACCCATAGATACAACTGTGTAATATAGTTAGAGTTCATTAGGCGTTTATCCCACAAGAGAGTCTAAAGATCGCGCACGCATGTGTACTATTCGCATACGTGGTATTAATTTCCATTATTATCTATATCTTTTTATAATCCCCCTAGCGAAGGCTAAACCCTAGAAAATATACTTTACGCAAGTGCTGCTTCTCTATAATTTTTAAAACAATAAATCTCTCATATTGCAATAAATATATACAGCGTTGACACATTTAATCTTGAAATATGCACATGTGCAATAATCATTATGGATTCGATTACCTGTATAGAACTTGTTACAATCTAATATTAATTAGCACAGTCATTATACATAATTGTCATGTGCTTTCGAGGGATATTCTAGAGCGAGTTAATAATTTACTTGTTTAGTCATTAACTTAATGACTATTTAGTGGTATGGTAGTTTGTAAAAGATAAATTATTTGTTGTTTAGGTCACGCCCATGTAACAGACTTTAACATCGCAACTGTACTCGAAGACGGTCAATTAGCAACCTCGATGTCTGGAACAAAGCCGTATATAGGTATGTGTGAATAAGTGGTCTTATCTGTGACTTTCTTTCTCTCTCTTTTTTTCTTTCATGTAAATTATTTTAATTATTTAAATCGTCTCTTTTTTTCTAATTTCCATTTATTTAATACAAATTCATATCAAACTTATAATTTATTATCGTATATATAATCAATTTTCTATTTACTCACACATTAATTATTCCCGTAAAATTAATTTTTTACTTGGCGTAGATGTTAATAAAAAATTACGCTCTATAAATCAAAGAAGAAAACAAAAAGAACTAACAAAAAAGAAGGTTCTGTATAATTAATTTTGCAATTTTTTTATACAATGCATGTAAATACAAGTTTATTGCAATAAAATATCATGTAACGGTATAATGAGATTTGTGATCGAAAAAAAATGCCTCAAGGAATGCACGATTTGTTAATTCATCATTACGCATTAGTCGAAACGCGATCAACACATATTTCTTTCCTGCGTTTCTTCTTTTTAACACGGATTTGCATCAGCCCCGGAAATTTACATGTGCTCATGCGAGGAATACGGTGTCCTCGGCTATGGATTCGCTGTGGATTGGTGGAGTCTAGGAATCCTCGCTTGGGAGACCCTAGCCATGGAAAGACCGTATCCACTTCACTCCACAACGTCTAACAGAGAGGCTTTGAGAATCTTACAGGTGAGAAAATCGCGCAAGCTTAGAACAATAAAAAAAAAAAAAAAAAAAAAAAACGTTCGCACAAAAGAAATGAGGTAGAAATATAATAAAAGGAATAAATTTTTATCTTTCTCTGCGGAAAAATAATAAGAATGAATATTTCAAATGAAAAATGTATGTTGCGTTATTCTTGTATTATCATCTTTACATTTTTGAAGCTATGCAAGATATTCGAACCTTCTGCAATAACATGTGGACGTTAATTAAGGACGCGTCATGTCCCGGCTGTCTCGTTAATTACGAGAACTTACATAAATATAATATTGACACGACACATGCCGCAGGGCTGCAGGGCTTGTTAGTATTACCAAAGACGTCCTTCACGTTCGCTCGCGTAATATCAGTTTACGATATTTTTACTTCAACTTGTCTTTTCTCAAAAATCGACTCCGTTTATCCCTAACTGTTTAGGCAATCGATGTGCGTGACAAATTCGCGTGAAACGAATATCCGCTTTTTTAGGAAGAAAGACCGACACCTTCGCACTGGAACCCCTCGACATGCGATCTCCTGGACCGTTTATTAACTCTGGCCCCGAATGCTCGAGTGTCAAGTTTAAAGGAACTGAAACAAACGAGCGCAATGAGAGAGTTGGACTTTGACAGAGTGCTGAATAAGCGGATAAAACCGCTCTTCTCTCGACATCTCGTTACAGATCGTTAAGGGTCGAGTACTCAGGGGAGGATGCTGGCGGTTTCGCCGAGGGCGCTGGATCAAGCTTAGACACGCGGAGATTAGCTTACATTCCGGAATATCGGGTTTATAATCGCGAACGTGAGATCGAGAGATTGGAGAGAGAAAAGAAGGAGAGACAATGGGAAGAGGAACTGAATACTGCCATGAAAGGTGCCGAAGAAAGACTCAAGTATGTTTGAATAAATCTCCTCGAGATTATCGCGATATCGGTGATCCGTTCTTATCGATATTTATTTTTTATATCTTTTTCATCCACAAAGCGTTAGTTAATATCGAACAATTTTTTATTTTATTTTATCGTGGCGGAAAATTACAAAAATATTCAATATCCTGTGATTATCTTCTATATTCACGGTTTTCCTCGTAATCTAATAGCAATTCTCGGCAGATTCTGAACGTCACCCTGTACATTAATCTCTGAGCGATATCTTTCTTAGCGCTTGCGCGATACCTGTGTCGCGAAACCCTTGATTACAGAACAAAGCAGCAACATCTGCCGGCCCAGCGAACCGGAAACCGACTGAGCGTCTCGACGACGAACGTCAAAGCGCGCATAAACGCCTCACCGAGGCAAGGACGCCGTGGAAGCGCTGCGACATCCTCGGACATCGACTTCATCGACGCGAGTCCGGAGCCTAGCACATCTTAAATAACACTGAGAACTCTGTACCTACCGTAGCCTATCAATGACCAGTAGTCTCTATTAATCCTATGAATGCGTATTAAAATTTATAAGAGACACCAATATTTATCTAGTTTAATAACTTGCTATAAAAGTAATTTAATTATTTCTTACTCTGTCAAACACACACATATATCTAACGATAAGAGATTAAGAATTAACAAAATTTGTTGAGTGATTATTTTATTTAATATACGTGGAAAGATCCCATTTTATAAGTGAAAGAAAAGTTTTTATACGGATTGATATAATGTGATTGTAAGTCCGCTTTATGTTAACTAATTTCATTCACGAAATCCTGAAGAAATATAGATAGCAACCGGAGAACCGCACGTCGTGCAAGATCTATCAGACTTTACCAATGCGTATTTAATTATTGTATCAGGAAAATGATACATTTATAAAATTAAATAAAGGAACCTAATGTATTGTTTCACAGATTTCGATCAATAATGGAGCAAAGTTATTCTTTTAACTTTAAAGTAGTGAACAATCGATACGTCAACTTTAGTGAGCAACAGCAAATTCTTTATTGCTCTGTTTTAAAAACCAAAATTTACAAAACCTCATTAGAATTAAACATCTTCGATGAATAATATAAATTAATCCTTTCAGTGCAGTGACGTATACCATGTACATCTGTCCCTGAAGTTTCTTGAAAAAAAAAAGATATTTTCATCATGATTTCTCTCTAAAAGTCAATACTTTATAATTATAAATCGCGTTTTCATTATATAAGGAGAATATGCAAAACTCTGCAGTGTTAAATAGAATCATAACTATAAATATTTAAAATTACATAAGATGAAAAAATTATAGATAAAACCAAAAAAATTTTAACAATTTAAAAGTGTTAAACGAGAATTAAAATAAATCATAATTTTATTAACATTTCTATCTCTAATATGGTACTGAAAGGGTTAAGGGACGCATACTATATATTAATATAATTTTCTTTAGTTAATGGAACTGGGAACAATCACTATATATACACACATATATGTTTTATTCAATAAAGATATATGTAGTTTAGAAGTGAGCTATGTACGAATCGAAATAAAAAATATGAAATAAAAAATATCTTTGACACATTACTAACGCATTTTAACTTATAATTCCCTTAAATTCTCAATGCGTACGTTATGAAAATAATTTATCAATAAAATTTAATTCGTATTCTAATAAAATATCTTTCCAAACAAAAAAAAAACTGCGACATCCTCGGACATCGACTTCATCGACGCGAGTCCGGAGCCTAGCACATCTTAAATAACACTGAGAACTCTGTACCTACCGTAGCCTATCAATGACTAGTAGTCTCTTTTAACCCTACGAATGCGTATTAAAATTTATAAGAGACACCAATATTTATCTAGTTTAATAACTTGCTATAAAAGTAATTTAATTATTTCTTACTCTGTCAAACACACACATATATCTAACGATAAGAGAGATTAAGAAATAACAAAATTTGTTGAGTGATTATTTTATTTAATATACGTGGAAAGATCCCATTTTATAAGTGAAAGAAAAGTTTTTATACGGATTGATATAATGTGATTGTAAGTCCGCTTTATGTTAATTTCATTCACGAAATCCTGAAAAAATATAGATAGCAGCCGGAGAACCGCACGTCGTGCAAGATATATCAGACTTTACCAATGCGTACTTAATCATTGTATCAGGAAAATGATACATTTATAAAATTAAATAAAGGAACCTAATGTATTGTTTCACAGATTTCGATCAATAATGGAGCAAAGTTATTCTTTTAACTTTAAAGTAGTGAACAATCGGTACGTCAACTTTATTGAGCAACAGCAAAATTTTTATTGCTCTGTTTTAAAAACCAAAATTTACAAAACCTCATTAGAATTAAACATCTTCGATGAATAATATAAATTAATCCTTTCAGTGCAGTGACGTATACCATGTACATCTGTCCCTGAAGTTTCTTGAAAAAAAAAAAAAGATATTTTCATCATGATTTCTCTCTAAAAGTCAATACTTTATAATTATAAATCGCGTTTTCATTATATAAGGAGAATATGCAAAACTCTGCAGTGTTAAATAGAATCATAACTATAAATATTTAAAATTACATAAGATGAAAAAATTATAGATAAAACCAAAAAAATTTTAACAATTTAAAAGTGTTAAACGAGAATTAAAATAAATCATAATTTTATTAACATTTCTATCTCTAATATGGTACTGAAAGGGTTAAGGGACGCATACTATATATTAATATAATTTTCTTTAGTTAATGGAACTGGGAACAATCACTATATATACACACATATATGTTTTATTCAATAAAGATATATGTAGTTTAGAAGTGAGCTATGTACGAATCGAAATAAAAAATATGAAATAAAAAATATCTTTGACACATTACTAACGCATTTTAACTTATAATTCCCTTAAATTCTCAATGCGTACGTTATGAAAATAATTTATCAATAAAATTTAATTCGTATTCTAATAAAATATCTTTCCAAACAAAAAAAAAAAATAAAATAATAAAATTTTATTTAATCGTATATTTAAAATATTATCGCAATTATATATAAATTTTATAAATAATATTAGCAAGATTATATCGTTTAAAGAATAATTGTGGAAGACAATAATCTCTCGCAAAAAAAGGCACAGTTATTAACATATGATTTGCATACGGCCATAAAAATTGCAAACGCGGATTTAGCATTAACCAAGCGTCGAAGGAGTGCCGGATAATCGATAGCACTGGCGCCGTTTCGCAAGAGTGAGAAGAGGGTGAAAGGGGTCACTGCATCACTTCACCTTATTCCATATAATGTAGATCCCAACCATACAATAAATATCTTTAAAGCGACGTAACAAAGTATAACGATATAATCGCGGAGTTTTTGAAAAGTTTGCTCTAAAAACTTCATAGATAAAAAAATGTAATATAAAATGCCTTTTACATATTATTTCTCTCGACGGAAAAATGTTCAAGCAAATTGGCGATTGTTCCTAGTGCAGATAATTGGCACAATTTATATAACAATTTCGTAAACGAGATATCGTTATGAATCATATCTAAAGAGAAGATGAATATTCTGACATAATTGCATTTGTAAAATGTAAATCGGTATAATGGACCAATTACCGCGCAATTATTGCATCCATTTGTATCTTTGTTACAAATAGCAAATAATGAATTAACTATTAGTTTGTTCTTTTAATCTCTTTATGCGATAATCGATTGTAAACGGTATAATAAATGAATAATATAATGAAAATTTTCATCATTTTTCTTCTTTACTCTTTTTCAATTTGCACTTTTAATTAATCAAATAAAAGTGCCGCAATCAGTGAGAAGAAATTGCATTTTTGTGATAAAATATTCTTGCATATAATATGTGGAGAGAATTTTCTTCTATTAAGCTTAAAGTTAAAAGTTTTTACAATATTTGAATATTTTGAAGAATCCAAAAAAAATAAAATTCAATCAGATATGTTATTCTAAGAGAATATCGACTTTACACATACACACATATATAACATATATATTAGTTTCTTTTTCTGCACATCTATTTATCTATTGAAATAAATTCGTACAATATTAAATTTACGGTAATTTAAAGTATTAAATTTAATAATTTAGAAAATTAGGCATTAGTGTTCCACTCTTTGAAACGTACGTTTGTGCCATCTATCCCGAAAGGATTTACAACTTTTCACTGGAGGAAATGCCTATACAAATAAATGTGGTTCTTAGAGAACGGAGGAGGGTAACGAAGCGGTAGAGAACGGTAATCGCCAACCTCGCTGTTTTCGATGAAAAAATCCAATAGAAGATAATGCAGTTTAGTTTCTAGAGATCGATGTGAAAGCCCTGGCAGTCTTTTGCGCGATAAAGACGCAGTTAAATAAGAAAATTCAACCTAATAAAGTTCCGCTTTTAATTACCTTTACGCAAATTAATCCTTTTACAGCGGAAAATGAGAGATGTCTCTTCTCTAGAATTATAAATTGTAATTAAGAGTCTCTCTAATATCATTGTAAAAAAGTATCCAGAACAATTATTAATTTTTGTTATTTTTTAGTTGAAGAAATACAACAATTGGTATATCTATCTATGGCATGAAACTTTTTATAAGTTCCGAATCATATCATGTATAATCTAATGTATCTTAATATAAAAATCAATTATAAAAAGATATCTTCACGCGATATTTTATTAATGTAATTCTGGACTAGAAAAGATCAATTGTTAAAAAAATCAAAGAAAATGTTTTGTGTTTTTAGATTGCATTAATATGCATGTATCGATTTAAGTCTCAAAGTATTTTTATCTGTTTATTTCTTGATCTATTCAACAATTTCATGCTTGCTATGTTTCTCCACGGACCACTATCTTATACTTCTAGATATCTTTCGATCACAGATCATTTTATGCACAATAAATTTGTTGAAAAGTTACTCGATATTTTCTCGCACATCAAACAGAATTAATACAAAAATAGTATAAATAAAATCATTAGTCAAAAATATGCAATATATCTGTGTTAATCGCGCGTAATAACTATTAATATTAATATTCGCACTGCACCAGGTATATATATCACATCTCGGTTTTCCGAACTCGTCGTTATCGACATGCTATCTCAGTGTAATATTTGCAAAGTACAACTCCCAGTATATAAAAGCAAAGTAACAATAACATAATATAAAATAGTTGTTAAAATGATATGTTTATAACGTAAATATATCATGTATAAATCAAAACATTCAAGCTAGTAAAAAAAATTGCAATATATCCCAGAAGTCGCGCAATTTCTTTCAGCTATGATTCTTCAATGAATCGGGAAAACCGATTTCTCGGACGAAAATTTAAATTAACATTATATTATTTATTATGTCATATTTAAATACGGTTTACTTTATTCGCTTAATTTATTAATCAATAAAGCAAAGATAAGATAAAAAGGTTAAAAAATACCAATTTATATCTTGCAATAAAATATTTGTGTTCTTATACACAGAACTCCTTAGAATTTATAACCGATGAGAAATGCGCGTTATAAGAATTAATTTTAGAGAAGATATACATATATATCCGACATCGAAACGATGTAAACGTTGAAGAAACTACGTAATTATATGTAGTTCCCAATAAATGTCATTTAAACACTTGTCACATCAGTAATCTCGATTCTAGAAATCGGTTTCGCGGGTTCTACATGTATAAAGCCTTCCTCGTTATTCATAAACTCACCAATTCGAAGCTGCTGTAAATTCGCCACGATCGAGTCTACCTGAAACGGCTGATCCGGTAAAGCAGTCTCACTTCTGAGTTTGCTAAAGTGAAGATAACAAATGCCACGATAGCCTTGCCAAGTTATCTCACTCGGCTTAATGCCACGCTCCAACAGAGCATTTTTCAAATCTCGGACTCTCACGCCGGACGAGATGTTCGACAGCTTTAAAGAGAAGTCGATATGCGCTTTCGTTTTGGCACGGAGATTCTTTCGTCGTCGGGGGACACTCTTGATGTTTTCCATTTTCGTCTGTAACACACATAAGCAAGATTTATTTATAAAAAGATACTATGTAAGAAGTATTATAAATGAAGTATGAGAGAAAATAAATAAATAAAAAAAAAACATTTTTCACAATTAATTTCAGATGTGCTTTATTTTAACATAGAGAAGATTTTAATATAAGAACATTTATTGTAACAGAGAGACTCAACTCAAATTCAAAGAATTTATCATTAATAGGAAAGCAATTTTGTAAAATTCGATATATATCGAAGTATTACTTCAGCATTAGAAAGATTATTCTCCTCTTCAGTTTTCGCTTTCTTATAAGTACGTTTTCGTGGGAAACGTGGCTTAAGAATTTTATCTTTGGCACTTTCCACAGTAGAATTTTCCACATTAGATACATCCTTTTTTACATTGAGACGTTTCTTGTTTTTCGGATATTTAACGCGATTTTTTATATATCGATGCGTCTCAATATCAGAATCAACTTCCTTCAGAGTTACCATCTTGCCATCTCTGCAGAAAAATAACCGTGTATTTACGCGAAATAGCCCATTTAGCGTGATTCAGGCAACTTAATGCATACTTTTCATCCATCTCTTTGAGCTGCTGTAATACCTGCATGGTTTTGAGTTTTCTTTCACTGAGCATATGCCACAGTATGCCAGATGGTTTCTTTAATCTCGGCTTCACGAATATAGTCTGTGTCGGTGTAACAATTATATCCACCGGCACGTCATATTCTTTAAACAATTGTGGCGGTAAATAATCTATGATTTGGCAATCGTGCACTGTCGTGATAACGATTGTGTTTTCTGTTATTGTGCCCATTCTCATCATCATTGCAAATTCGAGATCCGCAAACCCTTCTCCTTTGCCAAGCCTGCATCCATCTCGACTGACGCATACAGATCCCAACACAATGAGATCTACCTGAATAAATAACATATGTTTAGATAATTGTATTATAATGAAATGTTTGAATAATTTACCATTGTATTTTTAACAATTATGTATATGATGCTTATCAATTAAATAATAAATTATTTTTCCTGATCAAACATACTGAATTATAAGAAATATAATAATTACCTTAATATTGGAATCGAGTCCAAGTGGTTTACCTGCTTGCTCTAGGCCACGCATAGAAGCCAATGTTTTTAGTTGTTCCTTTGTTGCACCAGCGACTGGTATAACATGCAGAAATAAGCCAGATCTTAACCTGGGAATAGGCACAATAATTTCTTTGTTGGCCTCTAGAGCTAAAAATCGTACTGGTTCTTGTGGTTTGTCTGGATTTATTTTTATAGTTTTTGCCTTCTTAAATTCATCCAATTCAGTCAATCGCTGTGCTGCCTCCGCAGCACCCTTGAAGTTTGGGATTCGTTTCTATATGTTAACGGGAAAGTTTACCAATTCATTCTTTGCCATATAATCCCACACCTTTCGACGAAAACCCGATTTCGTTATCTCGTCGGCTAGAGAAATTATTAACATAAAGCAAAGAAGTCCAATCTTTAAATACAATTAATATATTCATATGTGATTATACAGACACATATGTATATTTATTTATACTCATTTAACAGCTTATAAAATAATTTCAAAACAGTGGAACAAAATAATGTATTTCTGGGATTCAAATAGGAATACAAAAATACAGATTTTTTTTTTGATATTTGGATTAAAGAAACGCCTGTTGCGCTAATCGCAACTACTTACGTAATTTTTCCGTCATTCTGTTTGATCCACCGACGAAATCTTACAGGACAAAAGATCCAGATCCAGGAGAGATTCAGGAAGGATAACTGTATGAAATCTCTTACAAAAATAGATCACACGATTTATCCCATCTATGCGCGGCTGTTTTCCTGTTGTATCTATTTCTACACGGCTACATGTTCGCAAACTTCAAAAAATTGTAATCCTCTAGGGATTATATTAGGCTTCTCTTTATCGATACGAAATATTGTTGGAAAGCGATTTTTTATGCGAAATTCGCTCGCCATCAAGTAACGAAAAGTTCCAATGTCTGATTGCATGTTATTCATAATCATGTTATATTCATAATCATAATCATAATCATATTCATAATCAATGGACAATGAAAGTAAGCAATTGAAAAACGAATCAGCTGATCCGCATTCAGATGCTCTTGTCAGTAAACTAGGGAGTTAGTAGTTAGCAAATCATCGATGCCAGTCACTATAGTGATTACTGGACAGTGACGGATGCTGCGTAGTTATCAAAAATTAGCATTTCTCTCTCTCTCTGTCTCTACGCTATAAAAATTTAAATTTATTTTAGCCTTTTAAGAATATAAATATTTTTTTATATAACATAATATTATACTTTTAAATATTTATATTACAATTATACTTTTACTTTCGGTAAACATTGACAAATGTATATTCTATACACATAATTTAATGTAAATAATATTTGCTTATATGTGATTTAATTTTTGCTTATCAAATATTAATTATATGTTAAAATATAATATATACAAAAAAGTATATTCTCTTTTATCTTCTAACATATAAAATACTAAAATTTATTACTAGTATCTTAAAATATAATAAAAATAAAATATAATAAATTTATTACTAATATCTTAAAATATAGTTTAAATGCACTTTTCCTTATATGAAAAAATTCTCTGGAATTTTGTTAATAGAAAAGATGAAGCATTTACTATTTATAAACAAATTGCGATGGATATACATTAAATCGATATGGCAACTCTACATGTGATTACACTCCTGCGTGCGAGTGCGAGTGAAATAAATCAGCGTTCGGCTCCGTCGTCAAAAATGGCTTTACTCGCGAGGAATATCTGCAAAACATTTTCCCAGGTAATACGATGTTCCTTTGTATTTTCGAAATTTCGCCTTGCTTGTATTTGTGAAATATGAAAAAATATATAACAGGAATAGAAACGTTAATAATTATGTTGTGTAAAAATAACGCGACATTTTTTGGCGGATAATAGATGGAAGAAGAAGCGCAAGGGCATTGCATATTCAAGTATTTTTATTCGAAATGCAGACTAATTTTCGATGACTCGTATCAGAAATGTGCCTATTTCGATATACTGCGAGAGCGTTCTGTAACCACCTAAACACATGAATTTTTATATATCAATTAGAACGAGCAACCAGTTCCGAACTCATTTATGTTATTTAATCAGAACGATTATGTTATCCATCGAAAAACAGCAAAGTTAGACGTAGCTATTTCTTAAAAATAAATAAATTATTAATGAAAAATACATCAACTTTCTTATGTGCATATACTCATGCTTGAGTCAAATAACAAAATAGGATATATAAAATATAATTTAATACTATCTATCATTAATTAAGAAGATTGCATTAAGAGATCTTAAAATTGAAATGGTTAAAAAGATATTCATTCAAAAAGCAAATATACAACATGCTACTTGAAATTTTTTAAATTATTACATTCATATATTTATTATGTATGTGTAAGTTCTATCTGACACATATATTTGTATATTTAGAGTTAGAGAGTATATCATATTTATAATTTATTAGTTTATATATATATGTATATATATATAAAATAACAAAATATAAATATGATATATATAAATTTTATTATAATTCATTTTGTGTACAGGCTGCTCAGAAGAGCACTATTAGGACTCTGCATGTAGGTGTAATACGGCAGCAAGAATCAGTAAGTATTGCTATTCTTTAAATGACATTTAAATACTTGTGTCTACTGATAATTATCTTTTTCAGATAGTTGAACAAGAAGGAAGATTGAAATGTACCTTGATACCAGGAGATGGTGTTGGACCAGAACTTGTAGTCGCGGTTCAGAGTGTGTTCAAAGCTGCGGATGTCCCGGTTGAGTTTGAGCCCTATTTTCTGTCTGAAGTGAATCCAACTCTGAGCGCTCCTTTGGATCAAGTCTCTAATAGTATTGCTAGAAATCGAGTCTGTTTAAAGGTTTGATTAGATACTTCTTATAATCTTATAACATAATATTATATATCTAAAGAGTTCATAAAACATTAAATATATTATGCTTCAAAATTTGTTAAAGAATATGTACAGCTGAAAGATAGTGATGATTTTGTAACATTATATGTAACATTATTTTTTATATTACAGGGTATTCTAGCAACTCCAGATCATTCTATGACAGGAGAGTTGCAAACCTTGAATATGAAACTACGTAAGAGCTTGGACCTATATTCGAATGTAGTACATGTGAAATCTCTACCAGGTATCAGATCACGTCATCAGAATGTAGATTGTGTTATCATCAGAGAACAAACAGAAGGAGAGTATTCCGCATTGGAGCATGAATCTGTCAAAGGAGTGGTAGAATGCCTGAAGATCGTAACAGCTACTAAGAGTCAGAGAATTGCAAAGTTTGCCTTTGATTACGCTGTAAAGAATAATCGCAAGAAAGTTACATGTGTTCACAAAGCTAACATAATGAAACTCGGGGATGGGCTTTTCCTCAAGTCTTGCCAAGAGATCGCCGAAATGTACCCCAGGTATCCTAATAATTTTTTTGTCACCTATTGTCTAACTTAAATGTTCGTTATAAAAAGTAATGCAAAATTTTTTATATTTTTATAAAACATTATTTTTTTTGATAAAACAGAATTACGTTCGAGACAATGATTGTCGATAACTGCACCATGCAGATGGTTTCTAATCCACATCAGTTCGATGTTATGGTAATGCCGAATCTGTATGGAAATATCGTGGATAATCTCGCATCCGGCTTAGTCGGCGGTGCTGGAGTCGTTGCTGGTGCCAGTTATAGCCCCGAATGTGTCGTTTTTGAACCGGTAATATATTTTGCTTTACTGGTGCAACATAAGATTTATATTTGATACAATTATGTAATATGTGGAAAGAAGATAATTTCTCGAATTTGTGACTTGTTAATTTCAAAATGCACAATTATATTACTAAACTGCATTCTCTTCAATAGGGTGCAAGGCACACATATTCTGAGGCAGTCGGCAAGAATGTTGCGAATCCGACAGCGTTGTTGCTGTGCGCGGTGAAACTGTTAAATCATGTAAATCTCAAACGCTACGGTGAGCAAATCCGGGAAGCATTAAACCGCGTATTAAATGATGGAAAAGTGCTCACAAAGGATCTGGGTGGGCAAAGCTCTACAACGGAGTTCACCACCGCCGTAATAAACAGCCTGCGTTAACGAGAATATTTGTGTAATATAGAACAGAGATACATAGATCCTCCATCGCAAAATCATTTTTTTGAAATCATCTAGGATATCTGGAATGATTGTGTAAAGTGTAGTACACCTATTATAGAGTATAGCTATATATAATTATATATAAAACTAATAGAATTATAAAATTTGTAAAATTGTGTAATTGTATAGTAATATACAATGATGTATATTTCTATCTGCAATAGTAATGCATTGTACGTTCTGTGAACAAAAAGAACTTTAAACAGTCTTTGCACATTGCTGGTTCATGCATGGAAGTCCAACTGTGATGTGCAAATGCATAATTAATTTTATAATAGACAACATATACAAATTGTATTATATCTATATATAATAAATTATGCTACCTTACACACTTTATTCCAAAACTACAATTAGCTCCCATCAATTCAATCAAATAATGTAAATATATAAATAATATGTTTAAATAAATTTAAACAAAATTGTATTAAAAACTGATGAACTATATTCCAATGTATTTTTTAATTTACACTTTATTTTTTTTTATACTAATTATTTAATTGTTTTTTTTTTTAATCTTTAGAAATAAACTAATAAAAATTTGTATAGTATTACAGATATATATTAGTATTTCTCTCTCTCTCTCTCTCTCTCTCTTTCTCATCCAGTGGGTTTCGTTTAAACTGACAGTAAATCATATATGAATATATATCGGAACTTCTAATCATCTGCAAGTCTGCATCTATCATCTGCATCAACAGCTGATCGGAGCTTACATCTATTCATACTTTACACACATCATATGTATCTAAACATACATATACAAAAAGTGAAGTAAAATTCAAGTCAATGGATCCCGATAATTACTCGGTGGATTTAATAAGTCAGGATATTGTTAAATATCATTTTGAAGTCAACGCTTTAATACAAGTAAGTAAATATCGATAGCGATATATGAGATATAACCTAATTTTAGTATTGTACTAATTTATTACAAAACGATTATATTGATAGTATGAGAAATATATTAGGAATTATGTATATGTATAATCTCACTTAATAATTTTTATATATTTATATATATGCAGGATATACAACAATGCAGCGGACCACTAGAGATACTCAATGAGCTCAATGCAGAGGGCAGAACCAAAATAGCAGTTTTGAAATCCTCCATTGACCGATTAGCGTCTATTGCTGAAACCGAATCAAATGAGAAGGAAAAAACTGAACTGTTACTTGCAGTGGACAACTATAAGGAGCAGCTGAGCACTTCTCTGACAGCCTTCCGTAAGGCCAATGTTGTTAGTGCATGTGTCATTGACAAATTGGCAAGGGAAAATTTATTCTCCATGCCAGAAGAACAACAGGCCGCTCTCCGTAAACGACACAGCAAACAGAGCTTGACAAATGCGTCTAGTCAAGTAACAGATAAGTTATTGAGCATTTCAAGACATCTAGCTGAAATAACTCAGAGAGGCGCTGACACCTTGGACACACTATGTATGTATAATGTTATATTACTCGATATGATAACATTACGATTCTATGGATTATCATCATTTCAGTAACATCCTCAGACAAGGTTGGTGGCACCAAGGATGAGTTAGAACATCAACAACAGGCAATAGTACAATCGGGTAAGCTCTTAGGAAAATATGGAAGACGGGAAGTCACTGATAAAGTTTTGCTCGCATTGGCATTTGCTTTTTTCCTCGCTTGTGTATTTTACATTCTACAAAAAAGACTATTCTGAATATAATATATTAGTATTTAGGATAATATCATGTAACTATCTCTATAATATACAAATTCCTATATGAAATATAATGTGATAAAAAAAAGAATCGCGAACGAATAGCATGCAATGTCTTACCAGTCTATTTGTGAAAATCTTTGTGAGCATTTCTCAAGAATGAACCAGAATCAATATAGCGTTATATATTATATATAATATTAATATATATATTGCAAAAGAGAGTTAGAAAGAGATAGCTACGTAGTATGTAAAAGCATTTAGAATTATGAATGGAGGGAAGCGAATCTTATTTCTGTACGATATAGCAGAGAGAATATATGACTTGTATATACAACCATCGAACCACAAAAAATTACCTGGGTTCTATTAGAAATTTTTTAGATTGATTTTATAGAGAAAATTGAAAATAAAGTCTTTACAAAATTTGTCCATGGTATTTAGATAAGAGAATAAACTTTATCTATTGAACAGCGGAAATAAAAATAGTCAACACAAAACGGAGTTTATTAACGAATAAAATAAAAAAAATTAATGTAAATATGTATCATATATTTGTATTATATATAGATTTATAATATATTATGAAAGATCTCTCTCTATACTTTTTATTCAAATTTTAATCAATAAAGAGAAAGAATTGGAAATTGTAGTTTTTTGCAACAATGAATGACATTTTAATAGATATTTATTATTTTCACATAAAGATAGCTTTCCTAATCTTTAGAGTGCTGTATTATAAACATTTCCTACCTGGTGATCAAATTTGAAATTCATATATAATAGATTTGATGCAGAGAAAAGATAGCATGGATTATATCACAAAGAAATCGATATAAACTCACCTATACAATAAATTGACGTGACAATGAATGATACAACGTGATATTTGCATAGATATCTCCAAGTTATCCATAGTGCCTTCACAATAATTGTTATCTGTACATACATACATTAAAAAATTAGTTTTTATGTTAAAAGTTATTTCTTTCAAAAAAATTAATTTTTTATAGATTATTGGTTGGTAGTAATATAATAGTATGTAAAAGAGAGTTGAGGGTAAATTAAAATAATTTTATATATGTATTATTTGTTTGTCATAACACAAAATTATTTAGATTGCATTTGAAGTTTAGAAAAGAAGTCAAGAGTATGTATGAAGAAAAGAATAAAAGGCTTACCAAGCATTATCTTTATTAAAAACTGTATATTCATTTTAATGAAATATATCAAAGTAAAATCCATGCAATTTTTTTAAAAACAGAAATATCTATCAAATCTATTAAAAGTCTATGAAGTCTTTAACATAAATTCTGTCAACATAAAATATTTAAATCTAATTAGATTCAATTATATACTTTATAAGATATGTTATTTATACAGAATAGTCGATTATCTGATGCGAAAAAATTGCTCGATCTTTGTCTTTGGAAATTCCGATCTATATACAATATGCCACAAACTAATATATTAAATATTAAATAATCTTACAATTTATTCATAAAACAATACTATTGCCAATAATTGCGTCTATTTGGCTCGATTATTTCTTTGTTGGCTTACTTGTGTGAATATTATCGGAGCCTGGAATCTCTGTTTCTTTATGATATGATGATCTCACATAAAAGAAAAACAATAAAATTGCAGCAAAAGCGCGCGTGACAAATGGAGTGCGCAATCGATAAAAAATGTGCTATGAAAACTATTAAATCTTACCAGACATAAAAAATATTTGAAAATATTGTATTTCTATGTCTATGAATCTTGCAATTTACTCATAAACGGTGTTTTATTACGAATAATTGCGTCTGTTTAGTTCAATATTATCTTTTTGTCGGCGTAGATCTTTTAAAAGACCGATAGATTAGAAAAGATCTAATGGTCCGATTATTTCCACCGAAAAAAATCGCTCTATTTTTACCACTTAAAATTCCGGTCTAATATATCATAAAATTACTAAATAATATCACAATTTATTCAGAAGACTAATGCTATTACAAATGATTACATCTATTTGGCTCGATTATCTGTTTGTCGGCCTACCTGTGTGGATATTATCGGAGCTCGGAGTCTCTGCTTCTTTACGACACGACGGTTTCACGCGAAAGAGAAACATGAAGTTGCTGCAAAAGCCCGCCTAACAAGGGGAGTGTGCAACCGATTCTTAAGAATTTTTAAGTAAAATTTTGATAAAAACGGCACGCATAGACGTTACTTATAATAAGATCTCGACTATAAATCTATATGTAAACTCGATTCCAAATGTACAGCATTTAAAAGACCGATAGAAGAAAAGGATCTAATGGCCCGATTATTTCTACCGAAAAAATCGTTCGGTTTTTGCTACTTGAAATTCCGGTCTAATAAGTAATAAAATTACGAAATAATCTCACGATTTATTCAGAAGACGATATTATTGCGAATAATCGCGTCAATTTGGTTCGATTATCTCTTTATCGGCTTACCTTTTCGGATATTATACGGAGCTCCGTCTCTCTGCTTCTTTACGACAAGATGGTCCCGCGCGAAAGAGAAACATAAAGTCGCTGCAAAAGCGCGCGTAATATGACCAATCAGAATGCAGGAACTTGCGGCGCTTTTTTTCTGATTGATCGTGTCACGCGCACTGTTGCAGCGACCTCATGTTTCTCTTTTGCGCGGCATAATTTTATTTAATTTCAAAATGGTGGCAAAAATTAAGCGATTTTTTCGGTGGAGATAATCAGGCCATTAAATTATTTTCTCAAGCAAACCAAGTATTTGTAGCGCCAAGTGGAGTGCGCAATCGATTCTTAAGCAAAATTTTAAAACAAAATTTCGATAAAACGACACTTAGCATAGTACTCATTAATATTATAAAATATATTTTTATATATTTTTCATAAAATAAAAAAGATAGGCAAATTAATAGAAATTTATTTAATGAAACAGAATAGATATATTGAAAGAGCATTCTTTTTTTTTTTATTAAAGTTTTAAATTTAAATTTCCCTCTTTTCTTTTTTTATAAATTATAGATCTAAAAAAAAAAAAAATTAATCATAATTGGTTAATGATCAATATAAGTCAAATCAACTCATTAAATGTATCAATGATGCAACGTTAAATCAGACAAATGTTTTTATTGGACTATCACAAAACGTTTTTGTGGAGTATATAATGTATTGAGAAGGATACGATGACTGAGATTGCTAAAATGGAAGCAACTTTCACTCTATATAGTGGATAACTCAGTTTAACTTACGTAAAATAGCAAATTTCTTAATCCTTTGAATCCAAATCATTTTATAACAACAGACATAATTATTTTCTTTATATGACAACCTTTGTGTAAACTCAATACAATTTTTCTATATAGTAAATAAAACATAGCACATGCCATAGTTAGATTTATGAAATTACATTATCAATATAATGCTACACAATAAATAATCAAATTATGTGTATTCATGGCATCATTAAATGGGCTAAAAGAACTGATTGTCATTTAATCCTTTGCATTCTTATATCATGTTTATAGCAACTGCGCAAGAGATCTTATTATGATATTACATGAAAGCTGATGTTTTACAGAAGTTATTTGCTTAAATATTAATGTTTGCATATTACATTTGCGTTGCAAGATTCAATTTGATTCAACTTGATTAATTATTACTGTCATAGCGAGAATAATTCTGAATGCAAAGGATTAAAATATCCTTATCCCAAGTGATCTAGCTTTGGTATAATATATGTAGATACTTAATATATAAAATTAACCATCATTGACGAATTTTATAAAATAATTTGATGGAACAATATTTTCTGGGTTTTCATAAGTTAATTATAATATTGTCGTTTTTATATTTTTAATGTGTATGTTCACATTGCAAGACAAAAAAAAATATATATATATTATCTATTCATATCTCTCCCTGCCAGAATTATTAAAATGAAATACAATTAAATATTTCCACTGACCATTCATTGATTGCATTCTCACACAAATAGAACTAATATGCATTTCATGTCCAGTAGTAGAGTTTTGCTGCAACACGACACGCTCAATATCATTTGCTATAATAATCGCTTAAATATTTTATTAATTTACAATCTTTGAGGTTAAATAAATTAAGATTAATTTTTTTAAATAAAATTGACAAAAATATACTTACGTACATTATGAGATTGATTAATTATTAATCAATATATCCTAAGACATATAGAAAAAATTTCACAGCCGAATAAACGCAGTGATTCACAAATATCAATATTGACGTGTGTTAAATCTCAACATTATTGAGATTCAACATACATTCTCGTCTTTCAAACTTATTTTTAAATCTATCTATCTGGCATCCCTACGAAAAAAAAATATTGATTTATGTTTATGATATTGAATTATTGATAAAAACCACATAATCATATCTAAAAATAATGACAGTTTTTATCTGACTCAGCGCGTGCGTGTCGTTGCCCCAAACTCCTTCAATTATTAATTACGTAATTTACAATTATATTACCGTATTGCATTTAATTTTATCTTCAAATTTTGTCCTTTAAATTTATATTTTGCATAGACTTTAAGCTTAAAATCTCAACTTATCTCGTTCACGAATGCAAATAAAATCGATTTGCTTGCTGTGTCGCATAGGATTTTTTTTCTCTTAAGCAACTCGTCTCTTTTGGTACAGCCTTACTTTAATATAGTTACAAAAAATAACACTCTGTTATATCTTTAAAGGAACTCCCTGCTTGATATAGTCAATTTTGTCTTTGAATGAATAATTCGCTGAGATTAAGCTTTTGAGCCTGTCTTATCTTGAAATTTCTGCACATGAAGCCTCTTATAATCCTTTCTATATTTCTCGATCGTCAATTCGGCCTCACTGATATTCGACAGGCTCAATGCTACCGGATCCAAGCTCGCCGCCAGCTTCAAATACGTCTCCTCCATCTCCTTCGTGATTTTTACCTCATAATCTAAATTCTTCTTATGACATTCCTTCGACGATCGCTCGTCCAGCACATCGAAAGTTATGAGATTTTCGCTCTTGTCCTGTTCTATGCGCTTTGACAAGATATTAATATTATTGGGCTCGTTTTCTATAACCCTTTCGCTACAATCTTCGATATTTATCAAAGACTTTTTTGACGCATCTCGAACCTTGTAAGCCAAGATTCCGTCCTGCTTCGAAGGCTTGCATTTCTTCAGAGAATTGTTCGGATAGACGTCGCTCGTGGTATTCTCTTCGCACTTAGTCTTATTGCTATTGTCTGATGCGGAATTTTCCATGCATGTGGATTGACGACTGACGTCAATGGACGACTGGACCCATTCGGCCACTCGTTGCAATTGATTGTCCTGCAGCAGCACTGGTGGTGAATTGTCCTCGCTATTGGTAGACGTCGAATGTTCAGAACCAGCCCGAGATGCTTTTTTTGCATGTACCAATGCAGTGCTGGCCTTGCCGCTGCCGTTGCTATACAATACAGTCTTGAAGTGACCGGCGTTGTCCAGTAAAATATTTTTAGAGCCAGGTGTGACGCGCACCAGACAATTCCGCGGGCCTATCACGCGACTCGAGTTGGACTTAGTGCTCGAGTTGAAAGCGCCGCCGGTCAACGATTGCGCGACATCGCTGCAACTACTAGATGGATCGGAACTGGAAATGACCATGCTATCGTTGCTGAAGCTCGGACTAGTCGCTATTTCCATCTGATTGCCATCATTGTGATTCGCTGCGCTATTGTCCGGACTTTTAACCTCGATCAAAGTGAATTGCGCAAGTGCATTTCGCGTCTCCGCCGACCTATCATTCTTCCAATCGCGATCGTTAATGATATCGAGCTCGATACCGCGACTCGCCTTGCATTTATTCTCTATCGAGGCATTTTTTTCAGAGGTCTTCAATTTCGTCCATTCGTTCTTCCACAGCCTGTCATTGATGATGTCGATATGTATCTGTTCTTTATTACAGAACCGATTGTCGACACGCGTCGATCCAGTGTCGAGGAGAAGATCAAAAGGGTTTCCTTCGTCCTTATTCCAACACTTTGCGGTGAATCTAGTATCGATCGGGGAATCGCATTTCCTGTTGTTGTTACTGAATGGTTTGGACGCCTTGTCGTTTATTCTATTGAGACCGTTTGATCTCGGGAACGATGACGAATACTTACTCTCGTGACTCTGGGACGAGTTCTTCTTGTTCGAGTTTATCTTTGTAGTGGCATAATTTTCCTCCGTCATGCAATCTTGCATGGTCCTGCTGATAAACTTCTCTTTGATACTTGGAGCTTGAGAAACAAATATAGTATAATCACCGTTCGAGTGATGGCAGATCTTATCATTGTTCTGGTTGATCTCATAGAAAACCGCATGCGATGCGAGGTTCGATTGAATTTTACCTTTACTTTGATGCTTTTCATCATTTGTCATACCTTCTGATGCTTGCTTTTCGATGCTGCGCGTGGGCCCGTCGGAGAAGGAAAACATATCAGGCACACACGTTTGCGTCTCAGCATTCACCATGAGGATGCTTCTGTGACACGTGCATGTGTTGCAGTGTTTGGCGAAAATTCTTTCCTTCTCGCGATCTTCCAACACCTTTGCCATAATAGTCGCCGATACGACATCCATCGGTGGCTTGATTTCGTCACTATCATCATCACTGTGTTTTTCTACTGCAGGTTTTGTGATATTATACACCATAGCTGTTGGTGGAAATGTGGATATCGGCACAGTAATGCTCTTCACATCTGGCTGCGTTACATCCTGCGTAGAACATCGCTTCTGCGCGACGTATGTTCGCACTTTAGCTTGTACCTCGGAAGGCAGCTGCAATAATAAGAAAGACAATATTGAAATCCACTATGTATGTTTCCACTGCTAATAACAAAGGCATATTTTGTATTTTTAAATGCTACTTAGAAGGTACTCGAGTGCTGACATGCCTATGTCAAAATAAGAAAGGTATTTTTAAGCAAAACTCGAAATAAATATACGCTTTCTTAATAAATATATAAATTATATTATACTGCGTATGCATACTATACATTTTGCTGTTTTTCTATTTTGCACAAAAATATCAGTAATATATTACAATCATTATTATTAAAGAAATATCGCTTTATACCATAATATCTCTTTATAAGTGTCTTTATAATATCTTTATAAGCGCCTTTGTCTCTATGCCTAGCTCACTTTACTTGTAAAAGTATGTAAAGATGTATAAATGTAAATGGAATACATGAGAGTCTGAAATAAAGTTTATTTGTGCGCGCGCACGTGTAACACTGTTGATGCATAAAATAAAAACGAGATGTTATATAAATATGGATAAAATGCCATTGTAACATTTAAGCTTATAATAATGCCAAGGTGTAAAATATAGGAAAATTAAAATGCAATATTTGAAATTAATGATAAATAAACATCGGATACAGAAAATCGTAATATAACTCGTTATTGTCATATAATCTGTTACTATGATATAACTTTTTAAATAAACGAGAGCATTAAATTTATTTTACATATAATGATCTTACCGAATCGTATTTTTGACCCACAAAATTGGAAGGTTTACATTGTAATAATTGAATAGCCAAATTAACGTCGTTTCTATATTTTTCCTGTAAAAGAAAGAAGAATGTTATAAAAAATAAATAGATATAATTGTAGTGCAACTTTTCTTAAATTTATATTTATACAATAGAGCTTTACAAGTGATATAAAACATCAAGAAATATAACTTCTAAAGTACATTATATAAGAATAGAATACTTACATTATCTTGAGTTAATTGATGAATTGTATAATTTGCATCCGCTAATCTATGAGACAGAGTCGCTATGTCCTTTGTGAATGTACTTTTCTCTGTCTCACATTTATCCACAATCCGCAGCAGTTTATCCTCCAAATTTTGATTGACCTTTTGAATTCTCTTGTGCGCTTCGTGCAGGCGTGAATACTTTTCTTGCCATATCAACAATTCCTCCTTCATTGAAGCCAATTCTCCATTTGGAAATTTATCAGCCTCATTTAAAAATTGTGTCTCCATTGTCACAATATGGTTGTCTCTCTCAAGTAGACGCTGGCGCAGATTCTCTATCTCCACATGCAAGTGCATGTCACAGTGTTGTTGATCATTTTGGCTGCAAGAGCCGCACTTACAACCACATTCCTATATGACACACATTATTAGGTAAGTCTACAAGTGTATACAATTAAATATCTTGTTTTATAATAATTTTGTTAACTGTAATAAAAGTAACATATAGATAGTAAAAGAAATTAATATTTATATCAAATATAATATATGTATATATATTATTACAGATAATATATATACATTCTATTCCGATGCAAATAAAAAAACGTATATTGCAGCAAAAAATCAACGGAATTGTCATTGTTTATCGAAAAAATATCTACAGCATTAAGCAATCAGCTGTCTGTCGCCACGTTGGCAATTTTTAACTGTTGTATGGGATTTTCCTGATTAAATTATTCACATACCTTGCACTTCTCCGCCATAATGCTCTACCCCGCTGGAAATATTGGAAATAATGGAAAAATATCGTCTAACAGCGCGACTACTGCGATGTCGTAGGAGCCTCATAACCCTTTCCTTCCTAGACGTCTTTAACGTGACTGCGAGATGTATGTACGGATCTGCCAGGCGCTCGACGTCGCGTTTAATCACGTGCGCAAGTGGGACTCACGGCATAAACAACACGCGTACACTGTACATATTTAATGTGACAACTGACAACTCGTGGAAAGGCCTGCTCATCACCTGTCGTTTCTTCGTCGTGTCGTCGTCTGCCACACGGACGCACGGACCACCCATGAACATGAACACGAACTAGCACCCAGCACGAACGTCTCGAAACAGTGCCGTGCCTATCGAATCTCGGGACCTCATCATCAGGATCCAGAGATCCAAAATATTTAACCAACGATATATTACATACACATATACATATCAATATAAAATAAATTAAATATTAAGACATGTATATATTGTAAAGAACGTATATTATTAGTTTCTGATATTTATAGCGCAGAGAGAAAAGATGAATTATTATATAAACATGAGAAGAAAATATTTTGCAAGATTTGATCGATATATCTTAACATTGTGTATAAACACATTTTTGTTATAAACTGTATAAATAAATATTTTTTATCTATACATGGTGGATCGAATTGAAATAAAGATAATGCAGGAGCGAAGGTTGATTTGCAAAAGTATTTATTAAATGTGTGTTACATCCCCATACATTTTATTTATGTAATTATAAATCGCTGATGGCGTTAATACAATCATAATAACGTTACATTTTCACGATATTGTGTCGAATAGAATACTTGAAAAATCGTCGAATCAGAGTGTATGTATGTTTCGTGTGTATATATGTGTGTGTCGTTGTATCGCCCTTTTTTGTATGCTTTAATTTTAAGAAAAATTGCTACATTTTGAAGTCAAGACCGTAAGTACATCAGTCACAGTTTATAACACAGTTGAAGTTAATTTTGCCTAAATGTACAGGATATATTTGATCAAAAGCTAAAACTTTGCTGTTATATTGAACATCAACGTTGACCAATGTTGCTTTTTCAGAAATACACACGGAATGCCCAGAAAAAGTGCAGCACACACACAATTATGAATATCTTAAAAATAAATTTATATCTTGAAACTAAAATATATTAACAAATGTTATCCTATTTCTTTTGTAAACAGAGGAAAAGAAATTTGTTCTTAGTTTAAAATAGGAAATTAATATTGATCATTGTAAAATTTTAAGCTTGAATTTTATTTATTAATTTTTCTCCTTTTGAGGCCTTTATATATATATTGTAAGCTATTTATTTTAATAAAGTCAAGAGTATGTCAAGCATGATAAGTCAAGTACGATAAAGTCAAATTTTATATATGTGAATATTTAAGTCAGAAATGTATGATAAGTCACATTTTAAAATAATAAATTTAGATAAGTCCAATATGTCTCACATGCGTCACGAAATTCTCGGCTCAATGCCAATAGTCAAATAATTAAAACAAGAATCAAATTTCCGAAAATGAAAAGTAATTATCGAAATTTTAATAAGTTGAATAAACAAAAAATTAAATTCATATTACTTGTATAGTGTATTAATTACTCTGTGTGAATAAATATAAACATCTTTTTCTTGAACAATCCTGTGCATACATGTGCATGTAATATTTATCTAATATTGATGTATATATATATACAGAATGCGACAATGGTCAAGCGTTTGTTCCGATCAGACAATAGTCACTACCAACAACAATCTTAAAATTCTGTTGCAGACTGCAAAAACAAAGGCATCACAAACGTTGCCTTAAAACAATACATATATGTAGTTCTCTTTATATAAATTAAATTATTTTGTTCGCTATATAAAATTTTTGTAATGTATAAACAAATGTATATATATA